GGGTCAGGCCCAAGAGCAAAGACCAGGAGGCCCAGCATCTGTGAGTTAGAAAGAATCGTGATTAAGGTTGGGGGGTCACTTCTGAAATCAGACCCTTGGGGCTACAGTTATGAGCCCAGGAAGCAGACAACTGATTTGGGGGAGAGTGTTGGGCAGACAGGCCCCAATGAAGAGGTTAATTCTCTGGAGGAGGGCCTGAGCTTCATTCAGCCAGGGATTTTCAAAATGTTTTAAAAACAGGAGTGGCCTCTGTGCAAATAGATCATACATGGAAGTGTGAACAAACAAAACAGATAAAAAGGCAGACTTTCTGGAGCTCCTGACGGTCCCTACCCTGACAGCAGCCCCTGGAGGGCCCAGTGGTCCCCGCTGGGAGTAGTTTAGAAAGCTGAGTCACATCACTGTCCAAAGTGCCCCAGCTCCAGACAGAGAAGCTCAGAGATGCCCTCAGCCTGCAGCTCTAAGGAAGGACAAGTCAAGGCAGCTGGCCAGGGCGACAGAGCTGGCAGGAGGGTGGGACCGCCACGGGTCACCAATCCCTCCCCCAGTCAGATGCCTGCTGCCCCTAGTCTCTCCCTGTTCAGGGAGGGCCTGGCCTAGGCCAAGAGAGGACTCGGCTCCTTTCCTTCCCAGGTAGGATCAAGGCTGAGCCACAGGGTCTTTGGTGCGAAACTAACATTGGTTTGAATGAGGAGGGTGACAGAGGAGGAGGGGAGCCTCCAAGGTCCCCTCCGCTGGATACGGGAGAGAGTCCGGACAGGAAGAGGCAGGGTCTGCCTCGTGGCCCAGCAGTTCTGCCCAGTGGATCGTGAGGCAGTTCTGGTGGGCGGGAGGGCGCTTCCCAGGAGGCAGGGAGAGCCGTGCTGTGGTGGGGCTGTGGCCCAGCTGCCATGCAGTGGGGGGAGGGGCAATCCAGGTCAGGAAGGACGAGGGGAGCCCCCAGCTCCCAGCAGCTCCTGCTCTGGTGGGAAGAGTCTGTGGTGGGACAGGTACTGCCCACTGGCCCTGGTGCTACTGCCCCTTGGGGATGAAAGGCTCTCCCTCCCCAGGCTCAGGGTGGGGGCCTGGGTCACTGAGGCAGCGCTGTATCCTCTGGGAGCTGGGGCTGTCACTTGGCCCAGGGGTGAAGACATCGTCAGTGCCTGGGGAAGAGGGCTCTTTGGTCCGTATCACAATGCCCCCGTCATCGTCCTCGTCCTCCTCGGCCACCCTGGGGTCCCGGTTCAGCCCCAGGACCTTGCCCTTCAGCTCCTCATTCACCAGGTCCACAGACTCAGGCGACTGTGGGGAGGCTGGGTCGATGGTGATAACAGGCAAGTCGGCTTTCGGCTCATAGGCCAGCGGGTCTGGGGAACAAGAGCAAGGCACAAGTCTGCTTCTGCCCTGAACCCTGCCCAGCATGTGCCCCATCTTAGCATGTGTCCCACCTTAGCCCGTGCCAGCAATTCCCACAGAACCTCCCTGGGAGTGCAGCAATCCTGATACGTTTCAGAATTACTCCACGTGGGCCTTTATGAGCCTTGATCAGGTAGGTTCTCTCCCCCTCAGGCTGGGATCTCAAAGGTAGGACTGTGTTCCTCTCCTCAGACCAGGGGCTCCCATGGGTGTTCCTCCTCAAACCAAGAATTAAGGCTCCTTCCTGGGTCACCGTCCGCCCCCAGGTGCCCAGGCCTGAGAGGCCTGCTCTTGCTTCCCCCACACGTGGGAGATCCCGATGGCGCAGACCCCTCCTGCCTCCCTGCCAGGCACTCAGCTCCCTTCGCAGTCTTCATCGTCAGCCCCGCGTGGAGCACCTGTCCCTGGGGAAGGCAGTAAGGCCATTCCCCCAACTCCACCTGATGTAAGAGGGACTCACGACTTGGGAGGAGGTCGGTGAGGGAGAAGCCTGTCCTCCCCGCTGGCTCTGAGGCCCATTCCTGTTGGAGCCTCATCTTCAGGAGATGGAGGCACAAAGAGCTGAGCCGCGAGGCCCCTCACCAGACACCCCGTGCCCTGCCTTACCTGAGCCAATGCGGGCCCGAGACATGGTGGGTGAGTCCAGCTTGTGGGCTGGCACCGTCAGGTAGTTGTTGATCTGACAGAGAAAAGACAGATAGGCGTGAGCTCAGGCAGCCAAGACTGGTGGCCACAGGCATGTTTGGGGTGTTTGCTCCCTCCTGGCAGTTCCTCATTAGGCTCTTCATCTGGCTGTGTCATGCTGGCACATCAGGGATCCTTGAAGGCTTGGCCCAGCTCTCCTCAGGCCATGTGATCTCCCGGGAGGCCCTGAACACTCCTGTGCTGCCCTGCCTCTCCCACAGTGACACTGCCCCAGTCTCTAGCTCCAGCCCACACCTGCCCCTGAGGTCCAGAACGTAAAAGCAACTCAGGAGTGGACACCTGGGCCTTGGATGGCCCCCAGGCATCTCAATGCAACATGTCAAAACTGAACTCAGTTTCTTACCTCCCTTCATAACCTTGTTCGTTCCTCGGCGTCCTCTGTCATAGACACCATTCCCAACTGTCCCAATCAGAAGGCTGACCCTGACTCCTTTTCCTCTTCTCTCGGCCCCACCTCAAACTGGTGACCAAGTCTTGATGGTTCCACCTCCTAAATGTCCCTTGAATCTACCCACTCCTTTCCACCTCCCCCTTGTCACCGTTCTAGTCCGGGCCACCTTCCCAGGTCACGCCCTTACTTAGAACCCTTCCCAGCTCTCCATGCCTGTAGAATAAAACCCAAACCCTTACACCATCAACAAGCTTCCTTAAAAGCTGAGCCCTCTCCGTTTCTAGAAGGGGCCACAATCTGTGACCAGGAGCTTATATACATGTTCTTCCTTCTGCCTGGCCCTTCCTCTGCCCACACTCCCTTCACCCGGGCTCCGATTCCTAAGCTTGCCCCAGCCCCCTCCCTGTTCAAGGGGCTCAGGGCCCCTTGCACTTCCTGTCCTGCGTGGACCACTGCATGAGAAGATCTGGAAGGGAGGACTGGGCTGATTCACCCCAGGATCCACAGAGGCGACTCCGCTGCTTAGCACTTAGGGACCACTCAACAAATGTCTCCTGAACAAGTGAAAGAATGCATGCGTGCCTTGCTTCCTGATTTTGGGCTGCTCTCTTTCCCCCTGGGCTGTAGTTATCTAAGAAGAAAATGGATTAGAGCCCATGGAGACTCTTATCGCAAAGATGCCTGAGGATATGATGAGGGACCCCGCCTTTTCACTGCTCTGAGTGAGGAAGAGGAGAAAGCTTTCTGGAACTTGCCCTGGGGCTCAGCCTTCCAAACAGGTGGAAGAGGCCAAAAGAACAGATCAGAGTGCTCTGCCTTCAAAAGGACTTGGTGATGAGGGTATGGGAATGGGAAGAACCCAGATTCCCAGAGACAGGAAGGAGCAGCTCCAGTCCCGGGCACACCTTCTGCTCCAGCTGCCGGGCCTTCTGTCTGCGGAGGAGCATCTGGTTCCAGGCCTCCTCGTAGGGGTCCGCCACCAGCGTGTGCCTGTTGTAAGATCGCAGCTGTGGGAGAAACAGCTGTCAGGCAGGGCAGGCCCTGGAAGGGCTTGGAGGGGCCAGGGCAGCTGGGCATGTGTGGGACAGAAATGAAGCAGACAGGTGGCAGGGGGCCCCCTCTGCTGGGGGGCCGGGCAGCGAGGGGCCTCACCCGCTGCCTGGTCTTCTGCAGGTTGTTCCTCAGGATTTTGCGGATCTCCTCTTCCTTGTCCTTGGAGAGTGCTGGTAGGATGCGCTCAGCAGGCAGGGACTTGGGGTGAATGTTCCTAGGACAACATGGTACAGGTTAGGTCCCCAAGAAAATTCCTGTGACCTCGGAGCCTGCTGGACTGAGCCAGAAGGTCACCCTGGGGATGGCCCGGGTGAGTGGGCGAAGCCTCAGGTCCTCAGTGTGACCCTGCAGCTCTCCACTCTGGCCTCGACGAGATGACAAAGAGGCCTTGCTCCCTGTCCCCCCACCACCCTGGTGGACTGTTCCAGGCTGGCATGGAGGGCTTAGTGTGTGGGGGCAGAAGCAGCTGCTGGGCCATTAGCACTCACTGCATGGAAACAGTCGAGACAGCTGAGGGGATCTTGCCCATGCCGCCACTTTCCACCAGCTCGATAGCCTGCTTCATCTCCATCTTGTGGTAGAAAGCGATGAGCTGGGGCTCCTTGGAGCGCTCGCCGGCTATCAGACACTTCTTCACGTACTTCTTATTAAAGCGGTTGAGCCTGGGGGAAGGGAGATGAATGGAGACAGCTCCTGGGGGTGGGGAGACACCCAGGCCCCGGGAGACCCTTACCTGTCCCACTCCACCCTCCTGCCCACCGGGCCTGCCACCTACTTGTCCTTCCAGTGGTGGTGGCCGTAGTGGCCACAGATGTCCTCGATGCCTGTCAGAAGGTGGTCCAGGAACTGAAATGGGCCCAGGGCCAGGTCAAGCCTCACTACTGGGCTCCTTCCCTACCAAGACTTCTGAATGGGCCCCCCACCTTCAAACCTAGAGTGGCTCTGCTCAGCCCAACCCTGTAGTTCCAGGAGCAGCCAGGAGGTGGCGCCTATACCTCACTCATCCTGAACCCCAGTGGCACCTCAAGCCCTCTGCCACTGGGGCACGGCTGAACCCTCTTCTCTGAAACCACCTGTGCTTGATGCCTGGGACAGGTTTCTACTCGAGGCAGAGATGGCATGACGCCTCTTCCTCTGGTTCCCGCTGCTCATACCACACCTCCCTGTGATGAGACCTAGTGGCCTCAAGAGGCTTAAGGACTACCCGGTACGGAGATTAGGGAGGGGCTGCCTGAGGGCATGGACACAGGGCCTAACTGCCCCCCAAGACGCCTACAACCGAGGGCCCGGCTTCCAGTACCTGTGTGTGGATCTCCTCGTTGATGGAGCGCTTTGTTTCTTGCTTTTTCTTCACAGCCAACAGGTCGACCAGGGGCCGAATGGTCATGCCCTGCGGGGCAGGTGGATGTCAGGCCCGCCTGTTGTGCTACCCTGGCAGGGAGGCTACAGAGCCTCCCCCCTCCCCCCAGGGCCCCTGAGGCTGGGATGCCCTCTGCTCTGAGGCCCCCAATCGTTCAACCTTCCATGCCAGCACTTCTATATAGGCAGGTCCTCAAGGCCTGCTTTTTCCTGAAGACACAGCCAGAAGTCTGACAGCCCGCCCAGCAGAATGACTCACATACTGGTCGTCTAGCCTGGGCCAGGGGACAGAGGACCTGGGTTCAAGTGTGGGCTCTACCACAGACACGTTCTGCAAACCCAGGGAAGTCAGGCCTGGCTAACAGGAAGAACCACCTGTGCTCTGCCTCCCTCACAGGACTGTGACCAAGGAGTACCTAGTTATAGCACCAGCAGCTGATTAAACCCCATACTTGCCATGTGCCAAAGCCAGTTGTGTTTTAATACCCACAATGACCAGAAGAAGTAGGTCTTTTCACTGTCCTCGTTTTATAGATGAGGAAACTGAGGCTCAGAGAGATTAAGTAACTTTCTAAGGTTTCACAGAAGTAGTGGAGCTGGATTAAAACCCAGGCAGGGAGATCCCTATCTCAATGCTGCCTTCACTGAAAATGGCTTGGTAAACCATTAGCATATAAAACTTCAAGGTCAAGGTGATAAAATATTCTTGAAGACTGGAAGCAGAGCAAGAAGGCAAGAGAGGCAGCCTCCTCTCCTTTTAAAGAACAGAAAATAAGTCCAGGCCCCAGAGGTTTCCTTTACATTTTTTTCTCCTGAGAAGCTAATGATGTTTCCTACTTAGGGCTTTGCCAGGATTAGGACCAGGAAAGATGATGAGGATCATAGAAAAACAGAGGCCTGAACTGAGTGTTTCTCACTTATTTAAAGGTCACAGGTCAGATAAGGTGGGATTTACCCCATCACAGGCTGGGCTTCTTTGGGGACTTGGGGTGGGGTGGCCTCTCAGCTATGCCTGGGTCACTCAAACGCACAGAAATCATTGACCAGAAGGCTGGAAGGGTTCTTTGGGATCATCCAGTCCAGTCCCCTCACGTCACAGAAGGGAAAGTGAGACCCAGAGACGGGAGGAGGGTCTGTCCCATGGTCACACAGGCAGCAGCAGGGCTGGGGCTGACTCCGGACTTCCTGCTGCCCACTCAGCAAAGGGGGTTCCCCGTGTTGCACTATTAGTCCCATTTTGCAGATGCAGAAACTACTATCCTAAGATATTCAATCGCTTCTCTAAAGCACTGTGGGCCTCCTGATGATACCTACTTCTCTTCCTGCTATCTGGGTTCCTAACTAAGTTAGGCAGCATTCTGGTCATTTCACAGTGACTCATCATCACAATTCCCCCTTAACAATTGAAGAAACTGAGGCCCAGAAAGGGGGAGTGGCCTGCCCAAGATTGAGCAGCAGAACATCGGGGGAGTTGGGACTAGAACCCATGACCCCCTCTTGGGTCACACGCTTCCTCTTTCCACTGGCAGAGTCAGGGTCCCCAGGCAGGGCTGTTCCACCCTGTCCAGCACCTGCACAAAGACGGTGAAGAAGATGACGGTGATGATGGCAGTGAGGAACAGGTCACACATGGGGAAGTGCTTCTTGTCCAGGAGGTAGCCCAAGGAGAAGGCGATGGCCCCTCGCAGGCCCCCATAGGCAATGATGAACTGGTCCTTGGGGGTCAGCTTCACGATGCGAAACTTGTTGATGAACCAGGTCAGGCCCAGCACGCCTGCCAGGGAGGGGCAAGAAGGGTCAGGCTGTCCCCAGCCCCTCCTGGTTTCTGCACTAGCAACTTCCTGGTCTGGAGGACGCCTCTACTGGTAAGACCACCCGGCTCACTCATTTCCTGGATCCCTCAGCCCAGGGTGATCCAAATCTTTCAAGCCAAGAGCTGGGTGGATCCTTAAGGGGGCCCCAACCTGAATGTACTTTAGAGATATCACAGAGGCCTCCAGTGGCCAAAGGTTGGGAGGATGATGGGAAAAGAGATGAAACAAGAGTGGACACGAGTTGATACCTATTAAATATGATGAGTACATGGGCTCTACTTTTCTCTGTATTTAAAATTTTCCATAATAAAAAGTTATTTAAAAACACAAAGATCTAGATCCAACCTCCACCCACAGAACTAGAATCTCTGGTGGTCGAGGCCCAGGATTAAAAGGGTTTTAAAATAGTGCAGCAGGTAAATATGACACCCAGAGTCAGGATCAGGACCGCAGACCTAATCTCAGAGAGGAGGTGAGTAAGATTCAGAGTGGGGACGTGACACAGTCACTGAGGTGAGGTGTGTCTGGAAAGTGTAAGCAGAATCCAAAGAGCTGAGATCTGGTCCCATGCGCAGTCCCGGGTGGCAGCATAGGGCTGGAGAAGCTGCTTCGCAAGTGCTAAAGTCATCTGTGCCATGGGACAATGCAGAATACACAGACCTGAGCTCTGTGGGTCTCGGCCCCCTCCCTAGATCCTGATGGGCTCAGAACCACAGGGTCTTTGAGGCCCCTCCACTCTGACACATTATGATGGTCTCCCCAGAGATCACAGACTCACCACAAGCACTGGCCTCTCCCCACTCAAGGGCCCAGCACGGCCTCAGCATTGTAGAGAGTGGGGAAGCCCGTGCTGTTCAGCTGTGCTGGGAGCTGCCAGGCACCAACCCCAGCCCCTCCACACAACGCCACACACACAAACACACACACATGCACACACACGCACACTAATATGCAACACCCACCCACCCACCCAAGCCCTCCACACACACCTCCCCTGGCTCGGGCCCGGGACCTCACCCAGCACGCGAGCGATGAGGCAAAAGAGCAGGGTGCTGATGACAAAGGTCCAGTTCCAGTGGTGGGAGCCAGCCACGGTGGAGACACCAAGGAAGATGAAGATGAGGGTCTCACTGACGCTGCTCCACATCTTCAGGAAATACTTGATGGTCGTGTGGGACTTATGAGAGATGTTAGCCTCCACGTAGGGGCGCATCACCACTCCCGAGGCAATGAGTCTGGGGTTGGGGAACAGTGCGGTTTGGGGTCCAGTATTGAGCTGCACCTTCCCAGAGCTCCTCTGCTGCCAAGGAGGCTGACAGCTGCCTGTTCACTGAGCTTCTCTTATGGGCTTTTCACACCTGTTCTCACTCAATCCTCACTCAACCCTACAGACAGGCATGTTCTTGCATTTTTCAGATGAGGGATCTGAGACCTGGAGAAACAAAGTTGCCTGCCCACTGTCACAATGCCAGTGAGTGACAAAGCTAAGATGCAACTAAGGTGTCCTCAACTCCAAACCCTGAGCCTCGTCCCTGACGCCATGATGCCTCTCTGCCTAATAGGAGTTAATTACACATGTCCATGGCCTAGTGTTTATTCCCCAGAGTGTGGTGATGCCTTAATGCACGGGGGTCCCCACAGGGAGCTCTGCTCTGGGCAGCAGCCCAAGCCCTCTTAGTCTGGTGCTCATACCTGGGCTCCTCTGGCCTGGCCTCCTCACTGTCACCCCAAATCCCCTAATCCAGCCCTGCCTCGGCACTTCCAATGTCCTCCCTGACTGGGAACACCTCACTGCCTGACTTTAAGACCCAGCTGAGGCCTCGGGACCTCCAGGACTCCTTGCTTCAATGGGGGCCTCGAGGCTCCTTGCTGGGGCTGCCAAGGGAAGCAGCGAGTGTGAGTGCCTGCGTCCAGCTATGACCAGGTGGCTCCCTTTGAAATAAATGAAGGAAAGAAATAGCAGGGCAGAGACATCCCAGAACTTTAAACTCAGTGCTTCCAGGGAGCAGTCCCAGTGCCTGGAGTGTGGAGCTTGAGCCTCCTCCCTGCAGCTGGAGGCTGGGCCTGGGGGAGCTCCCTTGTGACCCTACAAGCGTGGGGACTCCAAGTGGGCAACCTCCCCACGCCATACCCACACTCACGCCATGATGCCTGAAAGGTGGAAGAGCTCGGCAGACAGGTAGGCCATGTAGCTGTAGAGGAAGACGAAGAGCGGCTCGATGACGCGGATGTGGGAGGTGAATCGCGAGGTGAAGGCGGCGATGACCCCGTAGACCACGCCCACAAAGACTCCTCCCAGGGACACCACGAAGAAGCTCAAGAAGCCGAGGACGATGTCTACGATGCCCACGCGGTCGTAGTTGGCAAACTCCTCAAAGAGGTGATACAGGACCTGGGGAGGATGTGAAGCCTGATTGGCAGGAGGGCGGGGCCCTGCCCAAGGCTCCCTGGGGTGTGGCCAGGGCCATCCCGTCCCCTCCAATGACCATGGCCACAAGAGACCACGTGGTAGGAGAAAAACCCTAGTGCCAAGCAGGTGCTCAGTAGCACTGGCAGGGGGGGCTGAGCGTGGCTTGGGGCCTGCGGCACCTGCTGGTTACCAGCACAGGCTGTAAAGCCAACCGGCCTAGGTTGGAATGCTGGCTCTGCCGCTCCCTAGTGTACACAGGGGACAAATGACTCAATCTCCCTGTGCTAGTTTTCTTATCCACAAAATGTGGGTAATAGTGCCTACCTCACAGGTCTGTTGTGAGGCTTAAATCAGTTAATAAAGGCAGAACGCCTAGAACCGTGCCTATGGCAGTGCCAAGCTGCAACAGGCACTGCTCGGTTTGCCTCTCTCAAGGTCTGTTTGACCTTGGGCAGGTGATGTCCCTCCTTCAGCACAAAGCAGGGAAAGTTCAGACAATGAACTAGAACAGGACTTCTTCACCTCTGAGGCTTTCTGAAAATACACGTGGCCAAGTCATACCCTTGGACCCTCTGGAGACGAGCCTCAGAAATCTCTATTCAACAAGCTCCTCTGGTGATTGCGATGAACAGCCAAGTTCAGATGCTATGGAATTAGAGGCTCTCTAAGGCTTCCCAGCCTCCTGGACTGCGAAACAAATGGTCATTGAAACACCGTCATCGGATGTTTTTTTTTGTTTTGTTTTTCTTTAAGGCCTACAGCATCTGGTCTTCCTAGGTGGTCTCACATCCAAGTACTAACCAGGCCCAACCCTGCTTAGCTTCCGAGATCAGACAAGATCAGGCACATTCAAGGTGGCATGGCCATAGACTATCATTGGATGTTTAAGTGGCACTTCAAACACTGTAAAAGACCTTTGACAATGGTCGTCCTGCTTGATGCACAACAGCCCCGTGAGGCAGGTGGGCCAAGGATGCCTGCTCCTTGCTGAGACTCAGGGTGGTGAAGGGACTTGCCAGAGGGCCCCCAGCCCTGCGGCAGCAGAACTGGGCCCAGACCTTGTTGCCTGACAACAGTGGGTGGGGCCTCCCTGCTGAGTTGAGCTCTGAGGTTCTGCCCACTCTTAGGTGCCAGCTCCCTGGCCTAGTACTAGACAGCTCTGCCAGGAAACTAACTGCAGAGTTTCTAGACCTGGGTGGGGGGTGCTGAGGATCCCTGAGAGGGAACCCTCCGAAGCTCCCAGCACCTGAAGGCAGGGAGAGGGAGGTTGGGGAGGTGACCTGCTCCTGGGCAAAGGCCTGGGACCATGCAGCTCACGAGGAAGTCTCAGGTTCACAGGGTGCTCACGCCACATCCAGAGCTCCAGACAGGGCCTGACCTGGGCCAGGCAGGAAGGGGAGATGCTGAGCACTTGTCAGTCCCCAGTGCTGCCTGGACCACAGCCATCTAGGAGACAGGGCAGAACAGCAGAGGACAGCAGGTATGTTCTCAAACCTGGGCCACCCAAACTCACTCCTGGTCTGAGGAAATTCATGGGTCCTCAGGGTACACCACCTGGTCCAGTGGGGTGGGTATGGAGGGCAAGGTCCTCCTTTCCGGCCTGGTACTACCATCACTGGGACCAGAGAGGCAGTGTAGCATAGTGGTAAGCATCTGGGCTCTGGACTCAGACTGTGCAGATTTGAATCCTAGCCACTTATCAAACAATGTGACCTTGGATGAGTTACTTAAATTCTAGGTGCCTCAGTTTCTTAACCTGGACAAACTGAGAATAACAATAGTACCCACCTCATGGAGTTTCTGTGAGGATTAGATGAGGCAATACATAGACAGGAAGTGCTCAATGAACACCAGTGATTACTACTACCACTGCCAGGGCCTTGGGGAGGCGTGGCCATGGGCCCAAGGTAGCAAGACTGAGGTGTCCACCTGACACAGCCATGCCAAACTGCTCCCCAGTAGTGCCAACCCGACACCCAGATCCAATGGGAGGACTTCGTCTTTGGCACCCAGCAGTTTCACAGACATTAGAGTGTAACTCCTGTAAGAATCCTGGATGACAGGATAAGTACTATCATCCTTGTTGCAGATGGGGAAACTGAGGCTCATGTGGTAACCCTAGGCAAAAGCAGGGGTGCTAGAAGAGACTAGGACCAAAGCCTGCCTGCTCAGGCCAGGCTGCTGCTATACCAGCCCCATGAGGAGCCGATGTGGGTGGCAGGGGAGGAAGAGGAAACCGAGGCTGCAGGAAGCCGACCACCACTGTCTCTCTCTTCTTTGAGGCTCAGCTTCCTGAGGGGCTGGGGGTGGAGAAGAGGGAGTGTACATGCAAACGTGCACTGGGTGTGTGCACGTGTCCTTGGGTGTTCCTATGTGTGCAGCTGCCGGAGGGTCTAGTTGGAAGAGGGAGGGGTATTTTTACAATGCAGTGTGAGTATGCACATATGCATATCTGTTTCCTGAGGAAACTGGCTGGGAGGAAGGGCATGTGCAAGCATATACAGAACCGCCACGTGTGGACCGTGTGTTGGGGCTGTCTCCTCACTAGGCCCTGGGAGGAAGCACTAAGTACTCTGCCACTTTGTAGCTGTCAAAGGTGATGCCCAGAGAGGCACGGTCACTAGCTTAAGATCACACTGTAAACAAGTGGCCAGCCCATTTTACTTATCATTTTCTTGGGGTTTGGAGGGCAAGGTCTCTTTCCACAATTGCTGCCCTAGAACTCTGCACAAACCAAACTCTAACTGAAGACATAGCCAACGTGAAAGCTGAACACCCCCTTTCAGACCAAATGGTCTATAAAGGGTAAACTGAGGTACAAAGAGGATAAGTAATTCAACCAAGAGCACGTCACGATCCAAGTCAGGGATGGAGCATGTGACCTGGTAAGGCCAAGAAAGCAGGCCCTGGAGGCAGATAGACCTGGCTTCTAACCTTGGTTCTGTCATATTCTAGCAAGGTACTCAACTTCTTAGGGCCTGATTCCTCCTCTGTAAAGTGAGAATACTAAGCACCTCCTAAGGCTGTCACGAGGATTAAATGTGATCACCCATGTTGTGCGCTCAGTATGATGCCTGGCACACAAAGCAGGAAT